TTTCACAAATTTTATAGAGCAGTTTCTTATGGTGTTTTCCAATACATATCCTTAAAATATACCTTGGTAGAAAATAATATGCAAAGGCATAAGTTAATATATTGCAAGTTGGCACATTTTGGTGACCTGGTTTGACGGATGGACATAAAGTCCTATAATGTCAACTGATTTCATTTCTTTTAGATAATCTGTAGTTGACACCTCTTTTGGAGAGACTCTTGATAGAGAAGCATAAAATATAGTTTAATGAATTCTGATGACAAGTTTAAGGACTGAAATTCTGCCTTGTTTGAGGAGTTACCTGTATGCTTTTTAAACAAAATGAGGAAATGATCACCTGATATTTTGCTATAAAAATGGAGGAGTCTAACTAGGACCTTTGCTTGGAATAAAGCATACTTGCCTACCTGAGTGTGAAGATAATCTTCAGGGACCAGTGATCTGGAAGGACACCAAGTCCCAACTATGTGAAATGTCAATACAATTGCATGCCTACATTTCTGGGCAACCGAAAAAGCCTTTTTTGTCATTGGAATCCAAAGTCATTTTCAATAACCTTGATTGTCTTAATATTTCATTGCATTTTATATTTTTTAAAGTTACAAATCAATGTCATTTTCAAAGAAACATTGACAGAATCAACACAGTCTAGAAAAGGATCGACAGAATGATGAAGTGTACATCTTTTGGAAACCTTGAAGACTAGGACTATTTAGCCTGGAGAGGAGAATAGTTAAAGGGAAAGAGATAATTAATTCTTCAGCTGTGACTCTCTACCTTATGGAAAAGGGAAGGGTTGAGAGCAGAGTTAGAACCAGTGCATCCTTCCTTACGAAGAAGTCAGGTTCCAACAAGGAAGTGCTTGTTAAAAATTAGTGTTGTTCCAGTGTGGACAGGACTGTCTAGTGAGGCGGGGAGTCCCTCTCATTAGAACTGCAGTTTCATTCATTGTTTTCTTATTCCCCTGTGAGTCATACTTTCTTGTTTGTTTGCATGTCTTATAACTGTTTTTTTTTTTTTAAGAGAACAGGATGTTTTAAATAATATAATGTGACAACTCAGAAAATCAGATTTTTCCACCTCTCCAACGTTTGCTGTTGTTTATTTGTTGGTTCGATAGCATTTTCTAAACGAATTCTCTAAAGGCTGTATTCTTTGTCACATGTGGTCACTGAAGTTTCTGCTCAGTTAGCTTAGTGGTCAGTTAATGAACGGACAGAGATTTCCTTAGATGCCTTAGATACCTAGAACCAGCGAGTCTCCTGGCCTTTACCAAGGGTGCACAGAGCTTCAAGGTCAGCCAGAGGAGAGATCTTAGGATCTTTGCAGATCTTTCCTGGGCCTATGCACAGCCCCTGAATCTAAGCACAGCCCTATTCATGTGTGTAATTTCCGAGATCCCCACGAATATGCCAGAGCTTTGTCAAGCCCCCTTGTGCACAACTGTTACCAACTGCCTCAGGCAGCCTCAGAGATCAATAGTTACCTCTAACTGTCGTCGGAAACCTCCTGGGGCGGGGGCGGGGGGGAGGGACCAGAGGCTTTCCCTAGTCGAGCTTCAAGTTCAGGTCAAATAAAGACATCCTTCTGAGTGGGGTCTTCCAGGGAACCGCCAGATCAGCCATACAACAACAATCGTCTGGGAATGGGGCCTTGAAGGAGCTGCAACCCCATTCTGCGCCCTCTGGTGGCGGCTAGGCTGCCAGTTCTCACCAGGATTGCAGGCTCTTGGCTTTCCAGGCTACCAAGGGGAGCAGGGATGGGAATAGGGCAAATGAAAATTCCATAGCGCTTGCTGTTCCTAATGAGATTCGGCGGCTTTTCGTGAATAAACGCTCCTCAGATTGCTGCAAGACTTTGGTTAATTTCCAGAATTCTAGAAAAATTGAGGCTAACAGTTTTTTTGCCAGTGTTTTCATTGCTTACATGAGTAGAGATTCTTTGGAGGTCCTTTCCATGCCAGTTTTGCTATGTCACTGTACAAGTGCTTTTTTGCCATGTTTTTAAAAGATAAAAAGTTGAATTCATTGCTTCCAAGGACCCCTCCCATTCTAGAGTGTTCCGTATTAATAGGTCTCATTCCCCAACCATCCTAGGTGATAGAATTTACTGTACCATTTTAAAAATAAATATGATTGTTTAAGATACACTGAAATAGACTTTGAACAGTGCCAAGATATGAAACATAATAAACTTTACTTAATTATCAACTCTGCCTTGTTTTATTCCCAGATTTGAAAAGGAAATATTACTTTTCTGGCACAGTTTCTTAACTTAAAATGAATTAGTCTAAAGGGGTAGGAGATCTTAAGACAATAGAGATACAATGTAAACCCCAGACACTATTGAAAGGGTAAACATCAAGTAATTTACTGACAGCATTTCACAGAATTGAATCATCAGCATATATATTTATTGAATGGTTTACTTTTTTGAGTAACTAATACATTGTTATTAATTATAGTCACCACGTTGTATTGTAGACCTCTTGAACTTATTCCTCCCAACTGGAATTTTGTATCTTTGGTTTACCTCTAATTCTTTTGTTTGCTTTTTTTGGTTTTGCTTTGTTTTGTTTTGAGACAGGGTCTCACTGTGTTGCCCAGGCTGGAGTCCAGTGGGGAAATCTCAGCTCACTGCAACCTCTGCCTCCTGGGTTCAAGCAATTCTCATGTCTCAGCCTCCAGAGTAGCTGGGATTACAGGCATGCACCACCATGCCCAGCTAATTTTTGTATTTTTAGTAGAGACAGGGTTTCACCTGATGGCGAGACTAGTCTTGAACTCCAGACCTCAAGTGATCTGCCCGCCTTGGCCTCCCAAAGTGCTGGAATTACAGGTGTCAGCCACCACGCCCAGCCAGTTTACCTCTAATTCTGAAATCTGTTATAATTATTATTACTAAAATATTAATATATTCATGCTAATTCTTTATTCACTAAAGGTCCATTTTTGTACTAAGTACTGAGAACATAGGTAAGGAATCAGCTAAACATGATCCAAGGCTGTTTTATATCAATTTCTTCAAAGATAGATGTGAGAAAATAGTGCCACATTATTTGGTAATGATGTTAAATGAAGTTGCTATGCAAATTATTTTCCAGATGTCTGAAGCCAAACCTTTTTAACTTAACAAATTTTGAGGTGACTCTTCCCAAACTATGTAAAACATTTCTCTGCTTCATCAGGAAGCTAATGATCTAATGTCTCAGTAGCAAGTAATCATTTTGGACAGTTATCTCATTGTCCTGTAAAACAGTGGCAGCCACCTTGCTCTTGTAGGGTAGAGCTGAGCAGAAGTACTCACTGGTGACATAATGCTGTGCTGCTGGTATTTTCATACTCTTTCATGAAGTGTTGTGCCTCATATTTTTCCATTAATATCTGCTAATCATAGATTTTCCATCTATTTTTAATTTGATCTTTCTACTTTATAATCTGTGAACTGACATATGAGACAAGAGATTGTACCTGTTGGGTTCTTAACATTTATGAGGCACTATCCTAAGTGTTAAAATGTGTCTGTGCATTTAATCCTCCTAACATCTCAGACAGGTAAGCACTATTATCATCTATGTTTTTAGACAAGAAAACTGAAGCACAGAGAGATTAAGTAACTTGCCCCAAATCATGTAGCAGTTCATGATCTTAACCATTATACTATACTGTTGAAGTGGCATCGTCCATCCTGGGTAATACCCAAGGTTAGTTGTCTCAGGCCAAGGAAATCAAGGATGTGAACACACAGGGAGTGAGGTTAAGAGTGGAGGTTTAATAGACGCAAAAAGAGAAGAGCTCTCTCCTGCAGAGAGGGTTCCTGAGTGGGTTTTCTGGTCAGCAAAATGCAGCGGGTTTTATAGATGATCTTGAGGAGGCAGAGTCTGATTTACCAGGGCACGAAAGATTGGTCGGACCAGGTGTACCATTTGCATGGTGCATAAAAATCTGGCCACCCCCACCCTAATCTTTTATTATTCTGATGGGTTCTGTACTTGGCTGGCACCATGTTACCTGTTTCTTTACTGTATACACAAAGACAAGGAAAGATGGAGCCTCCATGTTGAACATACCTGGCCCCCAGGTAGCCTTTTTCTATTGGCACAGCTGCTGGCATTCACCTGTGCAAGCTTCCCGCTTGCTTGTCTATGTCTACAGCTCGATTTTTCAGGCAGTTCTTTTAATGATTTTGGAGCTGCTTTTTGTTAAAAGGAAAATTCCACCAAGGACTCTTACCCTCACTATCTGCCTAAATAATTTCTATCTGCTGTATCACTGTGTCATTTAAAAATGCTTATTAAAATGACACATAAACCTAAGAGTGAATGAGCTGTCATAGAGTATTTGAGTGGAACTGTTTGAAAAATACTTAAATTTTGGTGAGTTGTCTTTGTGATGTCTATGTTAGTTTCCCACAGAATGTATGTGTATGTCTGTGTTTGTGCAAATTTCTTGTGTTTGTATCAAATAGGTTAAGGTGGCCAGAGAAGCAACTTTACCAAATCAGTGTTAAGTATTATTAAATCATGAACATTGTGTGCCAGATCTGGCCTAATGCCTTTTTGTGTGTTTGAAGTTTCACTGGAACCCAGCTACATTCATTCATTCACTTACCGTCTATGGCTGCTTTCTTGTGACAGTGGCAGGGATGAGTAGTTGCCATAGAGACCATATGGCCCACAAAGCCCAAAATATTTACTATCTGGCCATCTGAAAAAAGAAAACAAGTAAGTCAACCCCTGCTTTAGATGTTGGGTTTTATACCAGTGGGTCTCAACTTCAGGTTTTGAGAAAGACAAAAGAAGGGGTTGGCTCATTGGAATCAGCTGGACAGGCTTTTCAAATTCTCCTTCTTCTCATCAGCTTTCCTTGTTGACAACCACTGTCTTAAACTTTATGATCCAAATGATTTCATTAACTGATACAGATTGTTTGCTTTCATTAACTATTTTTGGCCTTCTCTAACATATCTAAAGTAATGTTGACCGTGTATTTCTTTTACAGGGTTGTGGGAAGAAAATGTATTCCTTTTTGAGAGGAACCAAACAACTGCAGGTGCTGAGATTTCTGGGAATCTCCATTGGAGTGACACAAATTCTGGCCATGATTCTCACCATTACTCTGCTCTGGGCTCTGTATTATGATAGAAGGGAGCCTGTGACAGACCAAATGATGTCCTTGAAGAATGAGAACTCTCAGCACCTGTCATGTCCCTCAGTAGAACTGTTGAAACCAAGCCTGTCAAGAATCTTTGAACACACATCCATGGCAAACAGCTTTAACACACACTTTGAGATGGAGGAGTTATAAAAAGAAAAGTCACAGAAGAAAAACACAAACTTGTTTTATTAGACTTGTGAATTTTTGAGTACATACTATGTGTTTCAGAAACAGGTAGAATAAAAATGTTGTCATAAAATAATACCTAAGCATATACTATTCTATGCTTTAAAATGAGCAGGGAAAAGTTTCATGTCATAAGTCACCACCTGGACAATAACTGATGCCCTTAAAATGCTGAAGACAGGCCGGGCGCGGTGGCTCAAGCCTGTAATCCCAGCACTTTGGGAGGCCGAGACGGGCGGATCACAAGGTCAGGAGATCGAGACCATCCTGGCTAACACGGTGAAACCCCGTCTCTACTAAAAAATACAAAAAAAAAAACTAGCCGGGCGAGGTGGCGGGCGCCTGTAGTCCCAGCTACTTGGGAGGTTGAGGCCGGAGAATGGCGTGAACCCGGGAGGCGGAACTTGCAGTGAGCTGAGATCTGGCCACTGCACTCCAGCCCGGGCGACAGAGCGAGACTCTGTCTCCAAAAAAAAAAAAAAAAATGCTGAAGACAAATGTCATACCCACTGTGTAGCCTGTGTATGACTGAACACAGTTATGTTTTGAGGCAGCGTGGTTTGATTAGCATTTCTGCATCCATACAAACGAGTCACATATGGTGGAACTGGAGCTACAGTAAAGGTTGATTTACTTCTACCAACTAGTATAGAAAGTACTAATTAAATGCTAACATAGGAAGTTAGAAGATACTAATAACTTTTATTACTCAGCGATCTATTCTTTTGATGCTAAATAAATTATACATCAGAAAACTTTCAATATTGGTGACTACCTAAATGTGATTTTTGCTGGTTACTAAAATATTCTTACCACTTAAAAGAGCAAGCTAACACATTGTCTTAAACTGATCAGGGATCTATTTGTATATAAGTCTGTGTTAAATCTGTATAATTCAGTAGATTTCAGTTCTGATAATGTTAAGAATAACCATTATGAAAAGGAAAATTTGTCCTGTATGGCATCATTATTTTTAGCCTTTCCTGTTAATAGAGCTTTAATATTCTGTCCTGGGCTTATATTACACATATAACTGTTAATTTAAATACTTAACCACTAATTTTGAAAATTACCAGTGTGATACATAGGAATCATTATTCAGAATGTAGTCTGGTCTTTAGGAAGTATTAAGAAGAAAATTTGCACATAATTTAGTTGATTCAGAAAGGACTTGTATGCTGTTTTTCTCCCAAATGAAGACTCTTTTTGACACTAAACACTTTTTAAAAAACTTATCTTTGCCTTCTCCAAACAAGAAGCAATAGTCTCCAAGTCAATATAATTCTACAGAAAATAATGTTCTTTTTCTCCAGAAAAATGCTTGTGAGAATGATTAAAACATGTGACAATTTAGAGATTCTTTCTTTTATTTCATTGATTAATATACTGTGGCAAATTACACAGATTATTAAATTTTTTACAAGAGTATAGTATATTTATTTGAAATGGGAAAAGTGCATTTTACTGTATTTTGTGTATTTTGTTTATTTCTCAGAATATGGAAAGAAAAATAAAATGTGTCAATAAATATTTTCTAGAGAGTAATGACTTGTCTGTGCCTATTTTTTAATACATTACAAGCACTTAAGCCACTTGAGAAGATTATCAAAGGGAGAAAAACATGAGAAAGAATGATTGCATAAAGTATTAATATTGATTTCCAAACTATAGAACAGACCTATAAGAGTATGTATTTTCACTGAGAAGAGTCAAAAAGATGCCCATTTATTTTTCACTTTTGCTTTTTAGCTAAATGTTAAATAATATACTTGTTTGAGATAATATAAAAATATGCCCATTTGTGTTAATTTATCTTTTCAATGTTTGCATAATCACAGTTTTATAACTATTATTAATTTTTAAGAGAATATGAGTCTCTTAGTTAATTTCAAATTCTCTTCAAATGAGTCAAGGAATACAATACTTGAAATTGACTGCCGTATTTAAAATCTTCCATAGATTTTAATGAAAACTGAGTACAGTACTTGTTCAATCAGAGACAAAAGCATCCCTTCTAATAACTTCCTCAATGCCCCAAATCCCTGTAATTTCACCTAAAATACCCACGTAACTGAGATAGATATCTATGAGTTTTGTTTGAATTATTTGTATAATGGTCAAATTTAGCGGCTTCTTTTTTTAATATGTCTTACAGTCACAGAAAGAGCAAGCATATAATATGTTGGACTCAGTAAAATGAAAAGTCCTCAAATTACAAAAGTTGCTTTCTACATTTTTAGACCTCAGATATTTTGATGTATTACCTGATTTACTACCCTCTAGAATGGTCAACATAAATTTAGACAATCATTTTGTATATAATACACTTGCTTAATGGGAATGAATGACATTTATAGCAATAGCCCACAAAGCCTCTTATGGTAGCAGTGCACCTGGAATAATAAAACTGCAAGGGAGTTAAAAAAGTGTATTTAATACAGTAGAGCTGAGGGAGTTCACTGTTTGGGTACATTGCAAACAAAACTGTTAACTGTTTCTTTGGGAATTTTTAAAAGCTTTCTTTGGTTAAAAAAATCACCATTTTTTAAAAGTAGAAATTTAAGAAGATTATTTTTAGACTGGTTAACAGTCCATTCAAAGTGCCCTGGAGACTCAGAGATGGCAACAAGAGATGATGTCTGTCCTTAAACACTGTAGAATCTGGGTTAGAGACACTCGTGCTAACCACAGGAAAAATAAATAAGGGAATATACAGCAAGTAGGGCCCTTCTTAAGAATAAGAGATGGAGTAGAGTGGAATTAAGGCCGCTATGCCAAGGCGATGGCCTTCAAGCTGGATCAGAAGGAGCAGTGGAGTCTAGCTAGCTCGTGGAAAACGTTCCAAGAGCCATGAGTTTGAGGTTAAAAAGTATACATGATTTTGGAGTTATGACTTATGGTTCAATGTGGTTAGATCATAGAATGCTTGAAGAGATGCCATGGGAGAGCAAATGAATGAAATTTGAGTTTAGGTGCTTTGTTCTGTAGGCTAAAAGTAAAGTCACCGAAGTGATTTCAGAAAGAGAAATGAATATTTCATTAATTTAACTGGATTAGCCAAGTAAGAAAGAGGGGACCAGGAGACAGTTATACTCATTATGCAACTCCTGAGTGGGTGGGTCACCATTGACCACAGTCTAGGTAAGTGGAGCGCTCGAGAGTTGTACACACTGCAGGTCCTGGCGGGAGACTGGATAGTTTGCTGTTGCTGTGGTCCTGGAGAGGGATAAGGATCCTCACCAGAACAATGGACGTCAAAAATCAAGAGTGCATAAAACAGATCACACCAGGGTGAATCCACAAAAATTGGCAGTAGATAGACCTCAGGGAGTGTGGGACAAGAAGTAAAAGAACTGAAATTTCTGGATTTTGTGCCTGGCAAATTGGCATGGCATTAACCTAGATGGAAGACTGGAGGGGAACGAGTATGAGAGGGTAATTAATTTGGTCTGAGACACAGAGTTAGAGATGCCTGCAGGACATGCAGATGGAGATGTCTACAGGCAGCTGTAAATTTCAGTCTGGAGCTTTGGAGAATTCACTGTCAAGCCTGAGAATTTTTATGCTTTGCTTTCCCATCTCAGGAAGCCTGACAGAAAATGGGCTGGGAACCAAATCTTATATGAGGAGAATCTTAAATAGATTGCCACAGAAGCTTCCTTTTGTCTGAACTCCCACTCCTGTGGATGAGTCAAGGGAGGTAAAAACAAGAAATGATTATACTACTGAATCTTCTCTGGCAAAGGAGCTGCCCCCTTTTTAAAAACACTGCCAACTGCTATGCTGCTTCACCCAACCCTCTTCCTATTGTCATTCTGAGATTTACAAGTAGATTCGTCTCCCCTATGAACTGAGTTCTCATTTCCTCACATCCTAGAAACATACAGAATCTTTGGTATCATCTTGATCTTGAAAGCTTTTCTTTTTCTATTTTTATGTGTTAATTGCAGTCATTCTTTATCTCATACTTTCAGGGGTGCGTACTAGGTACCAGGCACATGTAGGAGGTTCTTTACACTTATTTTCTCTGTTCTTTGCAACTCATTTGCAATTTGCAGGCACCCCACTTTATTTTACAAATGAAGAAGAGGGACTCCAAGAGACTGAATAAATTTACTTAGCTAATATGTGGCAGAGCTGTACTTCCACTCTCCCCATTTTGTGGCATGGTATCTTCACCGACCCGTGGTGAAGCTCAGATGATTCTTTACGTAGAAAAGCCAAATTTCCCTACATGTAAATCAATATCACCAGGCCTAATTGATCTCCAGATTTTATTACTACTTCTTTCAAAATGATGCTCTTGTCTAACCTCATTCCTACTATTATTTCCCAAGAACAAGTAGAAATTATCTAAAGTATCTTGTACACACACATACACACACAGGCAAATTAAGTTCTTTTTTTTTTTTTTAGATGAAGTCTCACACTGTCACCCAGGCTGAAGTCAGTGGCGTGATCTCGGCTCACTGCAACCCCTGCCTCCTGGGTTCAAGCGATTCTCCTGCCTCAGCCTCCCAAGTATCTGGGACTACAGGTGCGCATCTAATATTTTGTATTTTTAGTAGAGATGGGGTTTCACTATGTTGGCCAGGCTGGCCTTGAACTCCTGACCTCGTGATCTGCCCACCTCAGCCTCCTAAAGTGCTGGGATTATGAGCCACTGTGCCCAGCCCAAATCAAGTTCTTAAATCAACTTTATTGAGATTTTATGTACATATATATAAACACATATACACACACACACATATATATGTATATACACACACACACACACGCACACCTAGTAAATATACCCCTTTCAAGTATACAGTTAATTAGTTTTGGCAACTATATATACTCATGTAACCACAACCACAATCAAGATCTAGAACATTTTCATCATGTCAAAAAGTTTCCTCTTGCCCATCTCTGATAAATCCTGCAGTCCCCACTCCTAGCCCCAGGCAACACTGATCTGCTAAATGTCACTCAGATTAATTCCTGTGAAACTTTATTCTTATATTGCTGCTTCCTTACTCAAACACTTCCAGAGATTCCTTGTTGTAAGAAAGGCGGAGCTTCCCAACTCATTCATGTATATATTATACGGCATGTTAGGATACGTGAAGCTCAGGGGCCACTGGCCACCCTAGGCCTTGTCTGGCTACCATAAGGACTACGAGGAAGCAATAGCTCAATTCAAAATTTTGGCTGCTACATTACAGATCTCAAAATACAGTGGCTTAAACAAAAGAGAAGTGAAATTTTAGCTCATAAAATGTGTATGTGAGTAGCCCAAACTATGGCTGCCCGAAGCTGTCTGGGACTCAGGATCCTTCTCTCTGGCTACTCTACAATGCTGAGGTGTTCGCTTTGCTCACATGGACCCAAGTAGCAGCCTACTTCCACATTTCACACAATAGGCCAGACAATAGGGAAAGTTAAAGGGAGGAAAGAATACCTCTTCCCTTTAAGGACCTACTCAGAAGCACACATCACTTCCATTGACACCACACAGCTACAAGGAAGGGTTGTAAATGCTTTTTGTTCTGAATACCCATGCATCCCGTTAAACCAGGAATTTCAATGACCACACAGAAAGAATGGGTAATGAGGATTGGTGTCAACTAGCAAATCTCTGCCACACTCCTCAGTACCTGCAGAATAAAGTCTTCCACTACCTGAATTTATTTTTCCAAATCTATCTCCCATAATACTTTCTCAAGTATCACTAGAAACCAGCCAACAGGACCAGTCCTAGTCCACTCATTGCCTCTAACATCCCACATATCCCATGTCTCTTTGATTTTGCTCTCATCACGGTTCTTCGCTGGTACAACCTCATCTCCACAATTTCAGCTTGTACTCAACTTTGAAGTCCCAGCTCAGCAGCCACCTATTACATAAAGTTTCTCCTGACTACTCCAGTCCACAACAATTCATTCTTCTCGGAGCTCAGCATTAATTTGTTACCATGACATCTAGTTTGATGTTTGTATTTTCAATTATATCATCTATATCTATATCTCTATCTGTCTATTATTATTTTTTTTCCTGAGACAGGGTCTCACTCTGTCAACCAGGCTGGAGTGCACTGGCATGATCTTGGCTCACTGCAGCCTCTACCCCCTGGGCTCAAGCAATCCTCCCACCTCAGCCTCCTGAGTAGCTGGCACCTTAGGCACGTGCCATTTTTTATATTTATACAGCTAATTTTTTATATTTTTGGTCAAGACAGGGTTTCACCGTGTTGCCCAGGCTGGTCTCAAACTCTTGAGCCCAAGCAATCATCCTGCCCCAGCCTTCCAAAGTGCTAGGATTACAGGCATGAGCCACTATGCCAGGCTACACAGGGGGTCACCATGTTGCCCAGGCTGGTCTCGAACTCCTGAGCTCCAGCAATCCACGCACTTCCTTCTCCCAAAGTACTTGAGTACAGGCATGAGCCACTGGGGTCCAGCTTTTTTTTTTTTTTTTTTTTTTTTTTTTCTCTCTTTGCTTGTCTATCTGGTCTTTCTTGGGAACAAACATCATGCTGTTTTTTCCCACTCAGCATTTTGCAT